CATTAAAAAAACCCAAACAACTCACAGTTCTAGCACAAAAGGAAAATCCCAACCTTAGCAAATAATTTTAGCTGAGATTTTTACCAGTATTTCACAGAATCACAGAATGTTAGAGATTGGAAGGGACCTCGAAAGATCATCTAGCCCAATCCCCCTGCCGGAGCAGGACACCTAGATCAGATCACACAGGAACGCATCCAGGCGGGCTTCACATTACATTAATCTACAATGGTACATATCATACCTAGGAATTACAATGGAATAATCTACTGACTGAAGTAATTTGCATTTAATTTTGGCGCAAACTAGCACATCGTGATATCACTGCTGTAGTGGCTAGCTTACCACTTAATTCACCCTGGAACCAGGCACCTAATAAAATGTCTTGGAAGAGAAAAGTAAAGACATTGGCCTTCCACTTCCAAAGCTACTGTTGAACAACTCAGTGCTCAATAAGAGGCAATCCTACAGTCATAACTAGCAACATGCCTTACTAAGAAATGATACTGACTATTCCCAGTTTGACACTACAATGAAAACAACTGAAACTATTTTAGAGGCTTAACCTAATATCATATGATACAAGCACACCATCTTGTGAGACACGTCCCTAACACTGCACTCTAATAAACTATAGCATCAGATACATAGTACTGCCTTAGACACACTAAAAAAATATACTTTATTTCAAGAATAATATGTGAGAGGCATAAATAACCTCTCCTAATCTCTCAGTTTGAGAGGTGCAAAACCAATCAGTGACCTATCAAAGCAGCAAGGACAAAGCACTCCCATATAAAAGGCCAGTTCTCCTAATATATTTCTAATAACAATATACACACTTTTGTTATTAAGCACTAAATAAGAACACAACTGTTTGCTCAAATCACACACCCAATGCTAATGACATTCACCTTGTAAAGATGCAGAAGCTCACTAAACCCCTCACCCCAAACTGCTATCTTGAGAAAAACAGAACAGAGGCAGATACGAGGCCACCTCCGCAGCCTCATACACACACTCCTAGAAAAAAACCCACAACTTCCTATCCCAGTCCCTCCTCCTTTAGTCAACCTTACTCCACCTAAAAAACCCCACAACTAACAGGCACAGCACAAAGCAAGAAGAGCGCTGCAAAAGACTACCAAAAAGCTGACTTTTGCTTTACCCACCACCCTAGGCCCCTTCATATGCTGTCTTAATTTCACACTCTTCCTCATAAGAACAAACCCCCTAAACTGAGTTACCAACATCACCCCAGCCACGAGAGCATAACCTTACCCTACCTCGCCGCTGCTCTCCTCAGAAGTTTCCAGACCTGCCGCCCTTCCCGCCTCCAAAATCCCGCCCACCGCGCAGGCGCAGTGCTGCCCAGCGCGCATGCGTACGCAGGCCGCAGACCACAAAGAGGCGGTGCGCGCCCTCAGCCATGGCCTGGCGCTCTCTGTGTAAGTGCGGCAGCGCGCTGAGGAGGCGCCGGGCGGTTGGCGGGGTGAGGAAACGCGGCATTGGAGCGGGGTTACAGCACTGTAATGGCACATTCTCGGCTTTTTACGCGTATTGTTGTAGTAAATGACCCTTAAGTGGGGTCTTGCGTTCCTGTTGTTCCTGTTCTGGGCTCGGAGGACCGACACTTGCTGAGCAGCGCCGGT